ATTGTCATGTTCCACTTGGCGATCATAGCTCAGTAGATGTCCATGTATGTCGGTTAGCGTCCCACCTATAAAAAAGAAACGTTTTAAATAGCAACTGAAGATCAGTACAGTACTGCTAAGCTAAGTACTTGAGTACGGGGCAGTTTCATGTGACAATCTAAGGCCATATAGATGCGTGTCATTTACTTCTTACATTTTATGCGACTATATATAATATGGGTTACTGTGATGAGGCGTTTCCATGAATGGCTTGATTTTCAGAGGTCAACTCTATAAAATGCTGAAAAGTGCACCCTGCACACGTATTCACTTACATAGTTAAGTTTGTGCTACTTAGTGGCAGCTCATAAGAAACGATAAGTAGAGAAGGAGGAAAAATATATTATAATACTCTTTTTAGAAATTTTGAATGTTCAGGTATGTAAGAACTAGATAGTTCTTAGCCGTCTGCGTAAAATATTCACCCCGTAGAAGTGCCAATAAATGCCTGGCGGAAATGAAGTGTACAGCATGACTTGAAACACGAGATGCAAGGTATAATCTCTGATTATAGTGTCAGTTGCGACAAAAGCCTGTTCTATCGTTTGGACGGCTTCAACTACAACATCAGAAGTATATTTGTTCGATCATAACGTTGAGACGTTTGAATAAGCATAATGTCTCTGGTTTGTGATGTCCGTTGTAATCACTTTACAATATTGTTGCTATACTATGCCGGCTACTGCATCGTAGAAGGAACCATTCCTTTCCGAGAGCAAATCTAACACTAGCTGCCTCTACTTTGTTTCTCCAGGTTGCATGCTGACCTCCTGGTCGACATTTGTCATGTTTCGGCTACCACATGAAAAGTTCGAGTGACGGCATAAGCTTAACTAGTTTAACTAACAAGGCAAATCTCTTTTGTAGTATCCTAATTTGCAGAGTTCATCCTGTGTTCAAAAGAGAACATAGTCATCTCTCGCGTGTCCGTATAACCATCATTATACGTCGAAGCCTACGCTGCAGTACTCAGTTCAAACGTTGTTCTTGAAATTTCATTAAAACAGTTGTCTCCATGCTGCAGTCGTATTTCAGCCCAAATATTTAAGAAATTACCAAAAGCATTGGAATCGAAGGTGACCCTCCTACCTAACTCGATTTAGGAGTTAAATACTCGCTTTTAGAACTGCTGACCACCTGCGACATAATTCATTTAATACCAGAATTTGAAGTAATATTAAAACGTAATTATATGGCTGCATCGCTCTATCGAACCATTTGTGACTGATAGAAGCAGGAAAAACTCCGCCATGGCCGGTCCCAAGCCCGGATGAGAAAGGAGGAGGGTTGGAGACCGTGGCAAGTCT